CACTGGCGTTGCCAAGTAGGGGTCTGCTGGCGTCGGTGGAATAAAAGCCTTGCCAGCTCGGAATATGATGCTTCAAGCTGGCTGTGTCTTTTGCAAGCATGCCATCAGCCTCCGCCAGTGCTGCATCATCCATTGGGGTACTGAAAGTCAGATAAGATTCCAGGCAACGCGGGCAACGGTATTTTACATGTCGTAGCAAAGCTGCACGGCTGTGGACACCCTTCCCGCAATTCATACAACGCGTGCCATGGATAAGCCTGTCATCGTCGCGCCGTGCATGCTGTACTGTCTGGTGTTGCTTCCATGCTCCACGCGATGCTAGGATTTTGCCACATTCATAACAAATAAAAGCCTCTTCATGCTCTCTCACCGTCGTAATAACAAAGGGCGGTATCCGTTCACCACATGCTCGTGCCATTTGGTGCAATTGACGCTGCCAGAGTACGTGTCGAAAGTGTTCCATCTGGGCCGCTCGTGTTCGGTGAGATATGTTCCTCATCAGTTTGAGCGCCTTGCGCTCGCCCATGTCCCGAAAGGAGTCGATCCAGTCGTGGTAGGTGTTGCGTTTGCCCGTCGGTGTAGCCATTCCAGGTCCTCCACTATGAGTACGTTCCAGGAGGCCTTCACGTGCCAGAGTAGGTCAACAAGTCGCAACAACTGCTGACATCCGTGGTGTATGAGCCTTATCAGGTGTCTCAGCCTTTTGCATATCAATAAAAGCTGAAAGGTCGTTTTGTTGACAGCTACGTATACTTCCCCATCCTTCCAATGCTTGCCATCCTGGATGTTGACCCTCCTCCTCCTCTTCCTCCTCGTCCTCCTCATCCTGTTCCTCCTCCTCCCTCTCCTCGTGCTGCTTCACCTTCTCATCCTCCTCCGCCTGCTCCTCCTCCTCCTCCTCCTCCTCCTCCTCCTCCTCTCCTCCTCACCCTCCTCTTCCTCCTCCTCTCCTCCCTCCCCTCCTCCTCCTCCTCTCTGCTCCTCTTCATTTTCTTCCTCCCTCCCCCTCCCCCCTTCCACCCTCCCCTCCCTGCCCCCTCCCCCCTTCCCTCCTCGCTCCCTCCCTCCGTCCCTCCATCCCTCCGTCCCTCCTCCTCCCTCTGTCTCTCCGTCTCTCCGTCCCTTCCTCCGTCTATCCATCTTGTCCCTCCGTCCCGCCGTCTCTTCCCCCTCCCCCCTTCCCCCTCCCCCCAAAAAACCGGCGGCACCCGAATAGGCCCCCACCCCCGTCACCAAGGGGACCTCCAGGCGTTGGGGTGATGGCCCTGGGCCCCTGGCCACGAAAGACGGCCTACTGGACACAACCTCTTGGAGGACTGACCTCGTGGAGCTCCGCCTCTGGGCCCTCCTCCTCCCCGCGTCACCTTATCCTCTTCCGCAGCCGGAGCGCGGACCGCAGGACTCCGAAGCCGCTGCTCCTCCAGGCTCCCAGCGGACCCTCGCTGTTTGGATCGCGCCACCGTCCCTGAGCCGCATCGGCCGACGAAGCAACGCCACCCCATCCCGTCCACGGACACTGAGCAGCAGAAGGAGGATACGTAATGTGGAGGAGAAGCACGAGGGACAAGAGGAAATGGATGACGATGAGACAGAACGTGCCGATTCATGGGCGCGCTGACACCCTCCGAACTGCCCAGTAACAACGAACCTGGCCCTCGTGTCGGTCGAGACGCCCTGGAAGATCCCGCAGCTAGCTACACATCTAGTGCAGGTTTCGCGGGTGGGGGGGAAACAAGCTGTGCATGACCCTTTTGCGCTAAGAAGGCGAAGACGCTCGTACACGTTTTTGTAATGCTTTTCCGAGCAAAAGAGCATCCAAAGCATCCAAAGCCAGCGCTTCCAACCAAGGGAGCAGGCACGCGTAGTGGGTCGACAATCGCAACTCTCGGGATCACCAAATATGTCTTCATCAGCAGTGGATTCATCAGCATTTCTGTGATAGAGCCTGCCGAGGTCTGTGCAAACTTAAGCGCGTGAGGGCAACATCACCTGGCGATGACTGCCAGTGCTTTCAACTTTAACGCACCTCACTGTCGCAAATCAAGCCAAATATGTTGGGAGACACGGGAACCCCTCACAATGTTGGGGCACCTGGGCTCCAGCTTGCGCAGAAGGCGAAGAACTCTCCCTAATCAGGTCTCGAGCTGTGGACCGTGTCCAACAGGGCTCGAGCTAAACAGTGTTTTTCGTTTTCTTGTTGCTCTCGTTTTCCTTCTTTCTGTCTTCGCTCTGCCACGAAATTGCCCAGACACCGCTCAGCTCGAGCCCTGGTGCTCAGCGCAACCCTGCCCCCCCCCTCCTGGAAGAAACTCCCAAGAATCGATCGCCTCCCCCCCTCCTGGGAGAAACTCCCGGGAATCGAACTCCTCCCCTCCCGGGAATCGAACTCCCCACTCGCCCGCCTCCCATCCTTCTCTTGGGCATGCCGTCGGGCGCATCCCGTATCAACTATCGTCCCTCGTCCTCTCCCCCCTCCCTGCTGTGCCCTCCTCCGCCCCTC